ATTAATTTTTGATCACGTTGTTAGCACATCTATATAAAATATACCAAATTCGAGACATACAGACACAGTCAAGTTGCTTAACTACACATAATAGGATGATTACAGACTAGAAGGAAAAGATTATATATAAATGTGTGTCATTTGTATGTTAACCACACAATTACATTACGTCACTATTGTGACTGGGTCGATTATGTAACATACATCAATGTTATAAAAAAAATATTTACAATATAATATTGGGTGTCGGACGCCGGGACAAAGTTACTGCGTTAGCTCTTTGCAGCGCGCAGTGACTTTGTATTGGAGTACACTTATTGAGTTATTAGGTATGCACACAGTCAACATATTGACACATTTAGTTGGAAATAAACGTAATTCTAAATCTACTGAGATACATTTCACGTGAAAAGGAGACGTGAATATCAATTCATACATAAAATTTTCCGAATGAGCAGCAACTAATAAAAATCACACTTATAGAATTTGAAATCAGAATAACAACAGAATTAATGAACAAATAACATGTTAAAATTAAACCATTCGTGAGACATACTAAAATTATTATGTTTTCGGCTCACTAACGTAACTCTTTGACGAAGAACTCGACTAGTTTCAAGCTCATAGTCTCATATTCGTGACCAGCCGCGTCGAGGGTCGCGGAATGCTGCTCATGAATATGAGCCTCTAGCATCTCTAGCAAACAGTAACGTGAGTAAGCCGAAAACATAAAATTTAACAAATAACATGATACATACCAGGCGTTGTAGCCAAATGCCATTTAGCGCTTGTCTACATGTAGAATAGAAAACCAAATTATATGGAATTGGCGTAAATTTTGACACTTGTCAGTGTCATCCCCATACATTTAGTTTTCTACTCTCTCTGTAGACAAGCGCTAAAGCGGTGTTTGGCTAAAGGCCCAGAACTGCACATCTTATACTTTAGAGAAAAAGTTAATAAACATTTCATACAACCTCTTTTCGTATATTCTTGTCGATATACTGTTAACAACTAATTCTTTGCTTAGCAACAATATGGATGATAGAAAAGAGATACATTGTAAGAGATCAAAGGTAGACAAATGGGAAGTAGTTCAGGGACAGACGTCACCAAAAACAAAACCCGAGGTTTACAATGTACCGATGACCAATTTCATAATTTAAATATGTGTACTGTGTGCTTGCCTGTAATTGTAATATCTTACTTTAATAGTGAAGACAAAAAGGATATGTAACTGAAAAGGAACCATTATGAATAGATTTTTTTATTATCACATATGTGAAAATCATAATTATCATTCCATTAAAATGATTCCTATACAGGCTGAGACCGTTTTTATCAGCTGATTATCCGGCATCGGCCATCTAGGAACCAGAGCTTGTGAAAATGGACATAAACGAGTTGTTAATAAGACCTATAATTCAATAATTCCTTTTCTATCAGATACTTCAATAGACCTCCACCAAAATAGTAAGATTCAATGTGTTGAGGTACCCAAGTTGCCAATAAGACAGAACATTTTACGACAAAATATTTTTTTAATATTAAATTAAAAAAATACCATTTAAAAAGCTTTTAGTCTAGTTGGCCCCTTACTGGCAACTTTGGTACATAGAAATGAATATTTAACAATATTAAATGAGAACAAAATTTTAAGTAACGTAATTAAAATTTTGTATTAAATAAACCACTCGATTCATTCAAAATATTCTCTTAAATGAAGGCGTTGGAGTTCATAATTGATTGATATGTTTTGCAAGGCATAATGGATAAAAAAACAAATCCTTTAAAGATGTTACTCAAGGCCATAAAATTAAAAACAGTCGTTCAATTTTATAGCCTGGCTAGTACTTGCAAACGTTTCGTTTGTTCTAATATACTTTGTACAATTCACTCGCTTTCTGATTCCTTCGTAGACTAATAAGTAGCTTCATACAACAGTTGAACGAATTGTTATCAAGCAATTTTGAACTCTAACGACAATCATAAAAACAAAGAATTTTAATGTTAAAAAACTCTCACTCACTCTACAGTACCAAAAAACAGGTACCTATTTATTATACTATATTTAATACAGTATGAGACTTAACAAACTTTAAACCATTTCAGAGATTTGATGTTTAATCTAAAGGCCTGAATCCAAGAATTTTTCATATTCCATTTTATTTTACTATAACCTAATTTGACTGTAACGTTTTAAGAACAATAGGGTAGTTGCCAGGGTAAGAAAATTAAAAATCGAATTAGTCCGTCAGTTAGACAATGAAAAAATATTAGACACGTATTTTTTTTTCTTGTTTAAAGCTACTACTTTTTTTCTTGTATACTTAGATAACATGGCGTTAAGTTTAAGAGTGGGAGGTCGTTACGTCACAACGTGCTGTAAAATGTAGCACGCTGTGACGTCACGTGACATTTCAAATGAATATATCGTCAAAACCATTGAATTCTGTGAGAAAAGAAAAAATACGTGTGTAATGTTTTAAAATAATCTACCAGACGGACATTAAAATAAAATTTAGGAAACTACCGTATTTTAGTAGTAGCTAGGCGACTGGCTGCAGCGATGTCACGAGTTTGATCCTCGCACGGCCGCCCGTCGTATGAGTATAAGAAATTATAATCTATCTATACAGATAAATAAAATTGGAGAGTCTGTTTGTAATATTGAAATAACTGCTTTCTATTTCATTATGTATATGAATATACATAAACCAAAATAACACTTTTTTATTTTTTTTGTCTGTTTGTTTGTTTGTTTGTTTGTACTGGCTAATCTCCGAATTGGCTAAACCGATTTTGACGGGACTTTTATTGGCAGGGAGCTAATTTACTAAGGAGTAACATAGACTACTTTTATTTTAGAAAAAACGCAGACAAAATTGTGGGTTCAGCTAGTATGTAATGTTTGTAAACGCACCTACGATACAGGAGAACCGTTTAAATAAAAGAAGTAAAAATTTCATACAGTAAGCACTTCACAAGTACTTATAGCAAATAAAAATTATTTTGAGAGCCTTCTCTGACACTTGGCATGTCCTTTCTTTAGTGAAAGTTTGACGCCATTTTAACTCGGCACTAATATACTAAAGGATTTCTTGACATTTCCAAACTTTATTTACACTTAATCCAACCAATTATCAATTCTATTGTGTTAATAATAAGAGTGGTATAAAAAGCAAAATTATACTTGTCTGACTATTGTGTACCGTTAAGCTAATATTGACTTTAGTACTAATGTTATAAAGGTCGAATTTGGTTATATAATGTAAATATAGTTTGAAATGCATGTTGAATATTTTGTTTAACCTTATACTGTAGTAAATATATTAGATATTGGTTACGTTCGATAATACCAACAATAGCTTTCATCTTGATACCGGTTTTAACCGGTTTCAGTCGGATTTCTAAGACCGATGTAGTAAAAATGCGCTGTTTTTTTAACTCTCAATACAACAGTTTTGAATGTTCACAAAATATGCCAGTCTTGAACATTCGCACTCTCTTTGCATACAAACATTTGTCTAAACGCTTCTTTCTTGCCATTCATATAAACGTGGGATTGGTGGCAAATGTTGGCCAATGTGTTGGCGTATAACTTCCAAACACATACAGTGTCCGACCACTGAAGGCTTTTATATGATCACCATTTGGAGCTAATTTAGCGGGAGAACGTCTGTCCAATAGAGAATTGGCAAGTGTCAAACTAATAGTAATTAAAATTTTGATTTTAACCAACAGATCTTACGTTGCTTAACTCCATCTGGTGTATAAAAAAACGATAGCCCTCATTGTCACTTTATCGTGATAGAAAGATATAAACTCCACGAACTATTGGCCAACATATGTAACCAATTTAAAATATATTAAAAACCGTCCACTCCCACGCACCCGCATCATCATAGCTACCAAACACACCAATTCTGTAAAATTTCGAATACGAACTATAGAATCTTAATACATTTACAAGTAGCTCATACAGAAAATATTGCAGAATAACCCTTCCATTACTGAAGTACTTAATTTAATTCTATATACAAGATAGAAACTAACATTCTAAGAACACAGTCGTATGACGTTTAAAAATCGTCTTTACTACATATAACATAAAGTCTCATTTTACAAAAATATTGTAGACTTGATTTTGTTTACATTGTACTAATATATGAGATTGGTGCCTACATTGAAGAATCTATTGCCTATTGAGAACTTTCCTAATACTAGCTGCAGTAAATAATTGTAAAAGGTTAAAAATGACTTATCTATTGATATGAAATATTATGTATTCTCTTTAAATCCAGTAGCAGACTGCAAAGACATACTATGAACTAATAAAGACTAATTTCGCGTAACTGGTTTGAGTAAAATACTGGTATAAATTAAGTAATATTATTCAAAAAGGTATCCAAAACAGATCGTCTGATTAAGTTCCTCTTGGCATAATTGAAACATATTTTGACACATTTCTTAAGGTAAATATGTCAGTAAGAGAAACTTAAGTACTTGTGAAACAGGGCCTAACTACCATACTCAAAGGTATTAAGTGATAACTTAAACGATGCCTTAAAACGTTTTGTTATGAAAACAGTCGCTCAGGACTAGGTAAAATAACCATTAATAGCTCAATCGTGGTCACCGGTGACCGCTCTCCACTAAGTCTATTATAGACCTTAATTCCGATGTTTAGAGACAACTTTGGTATGGACAAATTTTCGGTTCGATATATCAACGTATTAAAGGACTTTGAGTACAGAGGTAAGTCTGCAACTAGCTTTAAAGGATGAATCGCTACCAGGACTACAACTATAAGTCAATCGGTAAAACAGAGCATTAAACAAATGGAGAACACAACGCTTTGAAAATTTAGACATAATACAGTTCAAATGGTGCGTGAGTCCTCCATCAATTCACTCCTCTGCGTTCTATTGTAAAATGAAACTCACTGATAATTCCTTAAATTTCGTCTTTTATAAAGTATACAACACTGACACTGCACTTCACCAAAACCTTGGGCGAGGGCCCATCCATCGGTTAGGACGCGGCCCGTTTCTAGGCCAGCCTTGTTGTGGAGAGAACCCCGGTGGCCTAAAGTTAGTCCGCGGACCCCAATTTCTAGGGAACCGAGGGTTCATGAACCTCGGCTGATGCTGTTGCCACTCCTCATTGCCAAACTCCTCGAATGGTGGAGATGGGTTTCGTATTTCGTGGTGCTTGGCCTTCTCTAAGCCCCTGCTTCTAAGATCCTCTTCGTAAGCGCTGTCATTGGAGTTATCCTCAGTCAGATCGAAGGTTTTAGGGAAATTCAGGGGTTTTTGGAAGTTCATGTTGAAGTTTTTGAGGGAGGGTGGCATGGCATCGAAGGGGTTCACCATTGGTGGCATTATGGGCGCTGAATGCGGCTCTTTCTTGTCGCTGTTGATTTGTATGAGATTGTTATGGTTGTGTTCATTGTGCACTTTGCCGTTATCTCCCCCTACTAGCACTTTGTTGTTGTTATTAAAGCTGTGCCGTCTCTCCACCTGGTTTTGGTTTGTGTACATTCCTTCTGAAATGTATTACGATACTGTTAATGATCTTATACATAAAATGGCAGTAAGTCGAGATATTTTGAACATAGCAGATGGCGCCACTACCGACTTATGTCTTGCGAATCAACAGACTAATAATGTTTTGTAGAACTTACTATATGTTTACCTCTAGCATACTTTATAGCATTTTGTTATTAGTCTAGGAACCCCACCAATCACGACCAATAGGGTTTTCCCCCCTTTTGGATAGTTTTACCAAGTAGCGGGAGATTCTAGGATAAAATAAAGATGATGACAATGACGATGATGCCTTTATTTAAACGGAATATCTTACGTTGATCCTCATCTTCAGATAGGTCCATGTCGACGCTCTCCACGATGTCAGAAGGCGGCACCATCGGTGGTACCCTGTAATCCTGTTTAAATAGACATGTTATTACTGATTTAAAACCTATTAATATTACGGTACTTTTCATTCGATTTTCAACTTTATAGTTTCGATATAAATTCGAAAATTCAATGAAACAAATTGACAGATAGGAGTAACTTGCTGGCGTCTGAACAACGGACAAAAGAATAAGACGATTTGCGATTGCATTAGTAATTTCAATCTTTAGAACAAAAGATATAAAGTCTAAAATGTATTAATGAAATATCACACTTGGCAACCAATTTCAGTTATAATCATTGTCGAAACTTAATGATAATAACAATTGTAACAAACATGAACTTACTTGATCCCTCGTGACAGAGTTGATTGGTTGGGGTGGAGGTGTGGGTTGATGCGTTAACGGAATCAAATTCCTGTGGTCAACATCTGAAAACGATAAAAAAAATAAGATGATCAAATATTGCAATAAAAAATATGTATATTACTCCAATATAATTCGCTAGATGTAAGCACGGTGAAATTAAGAAAACCTTTATTTCATCCTTTTCCTCTTTTTATTTTATTTCGTGATCTCTAGATGGCGCCCCAATCGTTATGGACAAATCAAATCCAAACAAACTATTTCAATTAATATCGATTCTTGGTGTAATTAGTATGAAAATTCCGTCAAAACCTTAAAATCGACCAGAGATTTTAGATTCAGAGTGCCAAGCACGATTAAGTATCGCATTCGTAACGTAATAGTATCGAGACGCGTTCGGCGCTCTGATTGGCCGGCTCCAGTGAATCAACCAATCAGAGCGGTTATTAACTTCGAGCGTTAGTATCAATAATTTTGTGTTTTCTTATGTCTACACCTTGTCTATTCAATCAAAACTTTGCATACACATACTTAAGAGTAAAGGACTATAACTATGATATTAAACTGTCAAACACCAAGCGGTCACCGGTGACCGCAACCTATTGTTCTTTAATTGTGTCTATAAATACGGTACTCGACGAGTTAAGAATAGCTTTTATTTAAATTTGTTGTTCCTCTTGTTACCTTGATGTACAGGGTGTCGGACGGGTGCTGGATTGACGACAGGCGGTACTGGCGACAGAGACGGCAACATTCTATGGTCTACGTCCTCCAGCTCTGCAACGCATAGTCGGATAATAAAATAATCATTCGTCATAAGATCAATTTCATAATATTAACTGTATGAATAACACGATTTAACACACGTACAAAATTTCAGTTCTTCCTTTCTTTTAACTTGTTTAAAGAAATACAAGATATTTATCTAACCTGCCTCCATCTTATTATACATTATATTAACTAATAAGAGCCTTTTTCGTGATGGAGGCAGGTTAGTATACTGAATGCTTTTATTATTTAAAAGATTTGTCTGGCCTGGAGATAGGCCGCCAATCAATACACAAGAATTCGTTATTCAAACGAGCAAATTGGATCACCTGGTATTAAGCGATCGGTGCCGCATATAGGTGTCTATAGCTACACCAAACAAGTGTTGCCGGCCCTTTAGGTATTGGGAATTTGAAGAGTGGGGGATTGGGGGATTTGGTGATAGAGAAGATGATTGGGTTTCGGATAAAATCGAATGAACTCGAAAAATATTATTATACTAAAATTATAACAACTTACGACCAAGCAGTGGTAAGACGGGCGGCGGCGGTGGAGGCGGTAATATTCCTCTGTGATCCACATCTGTCGGAATCTCCTGCAATGCAATTGTGTTAGCGGACAATCAACATTAAGAACGGCCATATTGCACTAGCCATCATTATTAGATGGATGGCTGAAATACAGACTTTTAGATTGTCCTTACCCAAAATATTAAATCTACTTCATATAATACTAACTTTCCGACTACTTTTCTCCGAATAAAATTGACGAAACGACCGAATGAGATACTGAAATCTTCGAAAAATATACATGACTGCTTATTGCTATAATACTAACCTTATCTAACCTACAACGTCTGTTGTCGGTAACTTAGTAATTTTGTCGGAGGTTCAGTATTCTATTCGGAAGTTTAGTTTTGTTATTCGAAGATCCATTTTTATAGTCGGCCACAGATCGCTGGAGATTTATTTGTTTTTCGGAACCATTATTATTTACCGTTATTAATGCTAGTAAACATTCCATTTGATACTCTTTTTCATCAAACATCACGAAGTATGTATACAATTATTGATTTTAAATTTGAAAGTCAACATTTTATTTTAATTAATATCAATAGGTATAAAAGAAGTTAATTACACTATATATATCATGTATCGTATTTGTCGCATGTGTCGTGTATTGCAGAGTAATATGTGTCACACTTATGCTGGAATACTAAAACGTCACTCAATTTTAAGTCGTGCGTGCTGTCTCTGTCATTTCACTAAGAATTTGTAGCGACAGAACTATGCTTAAGCGCGACTTAAAATTGAGTAATGTTTCAGTATTCGGGCATTAGTATCTACATTTTAGAACAAGCACCTTTACCGACGGACAATTTCATAGACGTTTCAAAATGCCTATTATGTGCTCTAGTTAAAAATAAATGCATTGTCTTTAACTTTGAAGCTTTGTCGTGTTTGTCGTATGTGTCGCTACTTACCTGTGGATACCGCACTGGCTCTGGCGGTGGAATGGGGCGCGGCGCCGGCGGCGGCGACTCCGGCGTGTCAGTAAACACGTTCGTGTTCAACGTAGGATTCACGCGCTAAGGACAAATAATAAAGACCATATTAATGAAGGAGCATGGCTCTCCCATGCGAACAAACTTAGACTTTTGATTTTGATGTACATATTCTTTTATTTGCGAATTTCCAGTTCATATGGAACAGATGGTAAAGATGGATAAGCGATACACAAAGGAGACAAGTATGGTAGAAAAACTGGGGAAGTAAATAACAAGTAATGGGTGAACCTTGTTGTTTGGTAACCTGGTAGTTTCCAAATGGTTTAGATTCGTTATTATAACTGATAGATGGTACTGCTATAGCGCAAGATTTAGGTTCATTTGAACACATATACCTACTATTTTGAAAAATAAAGAAAGATAAAATCTTACAGCTATATTCCAGTTAGTATTATTCCAAGAGCTAGCCGCTTCTGGATGGTAGGGTTCTGGTTCCTCTGTAAATAAGAAACATATTCATTGAATTGACTAAAAAATCTTTAATTAATCTCAAATATTGAGGAACAACTTAATTTTATTTCCCATAAGTTTTGAAGATATGATTTAGAAATCACAATAACGATACGTACTACAATTATGACTATCTGTACTAAAACTATAAAAAAGACGAAAAGATTAAATCGATTGTTTGAATAGGCTCCGATACTAATGTGGTATTAGAAAAATAGTTTCAACAAGCATTTTATTGCGGTATTCGTACAGGATTCTGTAAGCCCTACTTACTCTGCAAAGAGAAAACTTAATTCCACATGGATGAAGTCGTTAATGGATTTTGTAAATCGATTACAGAGAGATAGAAATGGCGTCTTGAATTAGATTATAATAAATTGTACATCGTGAGAAACGCCGGAGTTTCAACATGATTTTTTAGTAAGTTAGTTAGTATATTAATGCCATTTCGAAGTAAGCTAGAAGCCTAAGGCTTCTAATATCGATATTTAGTAACAAGATGTGCTAGTTTAGACGTTAAAATTTGCGATCAGTTTCAATACCCATAAGCAGATTCGCTGACTAGATATATAATTTGAGTTAATATCAATTTTGTAACTTAAATAGCCGAACCTACCATCAAGTAGGTTTTTGAGACTGGCCGTTAGAGATAACACTGGATAAGTTGGATTCAGAGCTAAAACTACAGGTAAATTATAAATATGAAGTATTATTTCCAAACACGCCGGTTCGATTTTATATTTAATCTGTCTCTGCTATACAATCATCGGACACAGGAACGTACAACAATAATATTTGAATGTTTCACCATCGACATGACAAATTAACGTCATGCAAATTACCGAATTCGTGGAAATTCATATCAATACATAGTATAAAACAAAGTCGCTTTAGCTGTATGTCCGTATGTATGCTTAGATCTTTAAAACTACGCAACGGATTTTGATGCGGTTTTTTTTAATAGATAGAGTGATTCTTAAGGAAAGTTTGTATGTATATACATATTGCACCCGTGCGAAGCCGGGGCGGGTCGCTAGTAGACATTAAAAACAATACTGTATGGTTAACGCGATGGCTGGGCAACCGACTGCCGTGCAAACGTATCGCAGGTTTAATCGCTTTCGCACGAAGCAACTCTTTGTGCTATCCACTAATTACTGTTCAGTCTCAGTTGTTTTTTTAAACGTTGCCCTACACTAGGATTATCTCCTGTGTTGTGGGTGCGTTTACAAACATACAACTTCACAAACACATGCCACCCAGACCAGGAACAACAATCTGTGGATCACACAAAGCGTTGCTCCGTGCGGGAATAGAATCCGCGACACGTTGCGCCACCGCACCAACAGTCCAGTCGAATCGCATCGTGTATGTGAATTTTTGTGTTTGTAAACGCACCCACGACACAGGAGAAAGTCCTAGAGCCGTCCTTAACAGATTGTGCAGGGCAGATAAATAATCGTATTAAAGATTGTCTGTGTCTTTGTGTCACCCACTAATAGTGGTGAATCGTGCATGAGATATTTGAAAACGCACCGACGACACAGGAGAAAAATCTTAGCGATCACTTAAAAAATAGTTGATATTATAAACCTGCGTATATAACCGTAATGAAATATCATACCAGTGAGGTCCATGGTGCCATAGAAGGATGTAGGCGGCGGCGGGTTGCCCGGCGTGTCTGGTGTTAGTAAATCTAGCCCGGGCAACGCGTCCTGCGACTTTTGGGACATCGACGCGCTAGTTACTACGAACAAATTATTTTATTTACTTTTTACGCTTCTTGAACAAAATATGTTGCACTGGGATTGTCTAATAGTCAACCTGATGATGCAGAGACGTAATAATAGATATAAACGTGATTTTTAATTAAAGCTAAGCTTTTTGACGCGACTTATAAAAGCTAAAACGTATTGAATTATTATGGGTGGCAGGTAAAGTAAATTAATGATTATTGTACAACGGCCATGCATGCAAAATTCAAAACTGTGCAGGGAATTTGATACCTTAAAACTGCTAATAATTTTACGTGATAAAAAGGTCTCAAATAACAATCATGCTGTATAGTTAGTTATAATGTCTTGCGCAATTTGCGCAACTCGGTGCGCAAAACGGCTTACGTATATTTCTCGTTGCGCAAAATATCATTTAAATAAGTACAACGTATAGAGCATAAATAAACTACCACGTAATATGAGTTGATTAGCTGGCGAAGTTTTCCAGGGGATGATACTAAATGTCATAGTTTACATTTAATTATAATACTTGCTTAAATAAGTATTAGCATTTTTACCTTTGAATATAATGGAATAACTTATCTCAATCTCATTCGAAAGCCCTGTAGACGTCCACCAGCCAAATCAATACCTTATACACATTGAAATTGTGACTAAAGTGCAAACAAAGGCACAAACATTCGCATACGAATTATCTACGCTATCAAGCAAAAAAACTGCTCTAAAACACTGGTATAGCGAACTAACCTGAGTTATTATCCGATGCGTTGGTATTATTATCAGACATCAGGTTTTTTAGCACGTCGTTTATATTAAACTCTTGCTCGGCTTGTTTTGGCCTACTGTTTATCACTTCAATTTTGTTGGCTGCAATATTAATTCACCACATAATATAGAAGTGGGAATATTGCCATCTATGTATCATACGGTACAGATTTTAAATAAAAATAGGACCTGAGACAGATTAAGCGCAGGACCAACAGTTTCACATGTTTTTCGACACTGGGAATCGAACCCGAAACCTCGTAATTCGCACTCATTACCTTCAAAAATGTACTTATGAATACATACGAATACGAACTATACTATTATATCGTGTGCGGTAGTTGATTGACCATTGTGAAAAAATCCGAGCTCATCAAAAATTGTCTTATATAAAAAAAAATACTTTTCGCTTTAATTCCTAGAGCCCTTTTTTAGTAAAACAGTACAACCTGATCAATATAATCGCAAAGACACACTTTTAAACGAATTTCGACCGTAATACGCTGAGTTATAAGTATTATTTTAGAAAAAACTTACTGCTATTCAGGATATCAGTGGATTCATTGAATAGTGCCATTGGATTCTCTGACGTGAGAAAAGACGTAAGTCCTAGGTTATAGAGAGATCCATCAGCTGCTATTGATGAGTTGAAGGTCTGGTCAATGTTGTAGGCAACTATAACAAAGAAAATAAAAATGTAATTAATGACTGTTACATAAATCGCAGCATAGTACCAAAGTCAAAATCATTTATTCCAATTAGACCAGAGAGGAACTTTTGAACGTCAACAAAAAATTAAAAGTGAACCTATTGTCTCATTCTAAGGTGTAGATTCCTATGGAGAAGAACGGGCAAGAAACTCCATAGGTTACTCTTTTTCAATCAGGTTCACAATACAATTCTCTAGTTACACAGTTTTGTTGTTTAGATTGTGCGAGAACAATGTAACACTAAAAGCCAGTCAGAGATCGAAAAAAGAATAATAATAAAATATGTAACTATTAGAATAGGGATGAGGACTGATGATATTAAAAATATATTTAGTCCGTCAGTTAGACAATGAAAAAATATTAGACACGTATTTTTTTTCGTCGTATAAGAAAACAATACTTGGATAATACGAATGAAGTTTAGGAATGAGCTAATTACGTCATTTCTATGTAGGTATAAAACGTCACACGATATTTCAAATGAATATAACGCCGAAAGTATTTATTAGGTACTGTATGAAAATAAAAAATACGTGTCTAACGTTTTAAAATAATCGCTAGATTATTTTATTCATTACTAGTCTGCTAAGACGGACATAAAAATAAATCATCTAGGTATCATATTGTACTGCCGTATAATTTATTAACAGACTAGGCTATTAAATGAAATGACTCTGTCTAACCCTTTAGGAAGTAAAGGCGGGTCAATATAAAGGCACTTACTTTCATCATCGTCCCCAGTGTTTTCTGGTACGGGTAGTTCGAGATCCTCATCAGGTCCTGGAGATGGTACATCCTCGTCCCGCTGAGGTGGCGATGGGGCAGCGTTAGGCAACGTCGGTATAAGCTCGTCTAGTTTCCGCTTCAATGCTTTAACACGCGCCCCAAAATTTTTGTATGCCTAGAAACATTTTTAGAAACTAGTGAGTGTTTTTTTGCCATTTAGATAGTACTTGGGAGTAAAATTCGATATGAATTTTACTATCATAATGACCTTTAATGTCATCCAACAGTGAAAACTGTAAGAAGTATGAGGAGATTGCTCATACTTTTATTATTATGCGCTATGACATGAGTTTTTCTATTTACTTATTGAAATATAAGAGACCAATAAACAATTTATGGTAAAAAAGCAAAAAAAGGATCAGTTTTATCAAATAGCGTTCGGCGATCTAAGGCTTAGTACGAATTAGTTTTACGTTTAAAGTTTAAAGTAATCGAAAGTAGATGGCGGTCGGTGCTGTGATTAGTCGGCTCCAATGAACCAATCAATCAAAGCGCCGTAACCGTAAAACAAACTCGTACTAAGCCCTCTGATTGATAGCCGTCGAACCAACCAATTAGAGCGCGCTTAATCATAAAACAAATTCGTACTAAGCCCTCTGATTGGCCAGCTCCAATAACCCAACCAGAGCGCCTGTCAAAGAAATTGATCGGCTCTTACGACGCCCACGGGAAGAGTAGGGTGGCAAAACAAATGGCAAAAGACAATAAAAAGTGTACTTACATAAGCAACAACCTTCACTTCACCTCTTTGCGTCGCGTAATACTGCGTAGCGGTGGTAAGCAGTGCTAACAGAGCTTCCCTCGCTACAATTTCCCTTTGCAGCGCAGCAGTGTATCGTTCCACACATGATATCCCATCATTTAACTCCTTTTCCACATCGTCCTTGTTGCCTCTCTCTGAAATAACATAATATTAGAACTTTACTATTGTCAACCACAAATAAAATTAATAATGCTTCTTAAAATAAAACAACTTCTAAATCCACGATTACAAAAAATTAATGATAATTGTTTATACAAAAGTAGTCTCTAAACTAAACTAAATTAAGAAATAAGGTCTATAATAGATTGAGTGGAGAGAGGTTACCACTGACCACTTAGGAATAAGTACTATTTATTTACTTTTATTATAGTGTCACAGCCAGATCAGGGCCTTTAGCCAAACGCCACTTTAGCGCTTGTCTACAGAGAGAGTAGAAATCAAAATGTATGGGGATGACACTGACAAGTGTCAAAATTTAAGTCAATTCTATATAATTTGGTTTTCTATTCTACATGTAGACAAGCGCTAAATGGCATTTGGCTACAGCTGCAGATAAGAAAGAATGGATTATTTTCAAAGATTTATTTATTTATTAATTTATAATTCACCTAAGTGGACTCTGCAATAGAGTCCATAGGTACACATACTTTCATGGAACATGCTTTTGTTTCTAAGATGTGTTTCCTTTACAAAATACAGCATTAATAAAAAACTTGAAATTCAGAACATGTTTGGTCAAACCTTTAAGTGAAGTTCTCAATAGCTCAGCATCGGAAAGTTCCAGATGACTGTCATGGATCTCTTTCAGCCTCAAATCTGTATCCGCTTCTAATACTGAACACTGTTTTATCTTATTCACCAGTTGTGACGGCTAAAACACACAATAATAGTAAATAAGTAATGGTTAAGATACAGCCTATTTATACATGGACCCTATCTTAACAGCAACAGCAAATATGAGCCTCTAGTGTGGTTTGAACAGAGTCGGTTTTCCTAGTTAAACCTTTATATTAGTAAGTCATTGAGCATAGCAATTCAATTTGAGGAGAGAGGAACTTCTGCCGCGTGAAACTTTTGCTACCCACTTGGAACTCTGAATCGTCGTCTGATTTCTTCACAGCTCCAGCACTCAGTAGTCCAGTCAGATCTGATAGAAACTCGTCATCATAAACTGATCTTTGTTCCCATATTTTAAAAATGCGAAGGATTTTTGGTCTCACTTTATCGTCCCTGAAAAAAATTATGAAAATTATGGATACAGGTAAATTTTGTTGATAAGAAAGCTTAAACATATGTTAACATCATATTGACATATATTGGACCTGCATGTGGTAGCAGCAGAATAAAATACATTACTCACTGCCCATATACATTGTTTTACGTTTACAGGGATTGAAACAAGAATGGTTCAGTGTTCTCGTTTGGATTTTGTTACATGTCTACAAAAAACAAGGCTGCAATTAATGTTGATCTGTCTATCATTTAACCCTAGCCAGTTTAGTGTATGAATGATGCAGAACGCAGACACACTGGCTGTCCTATGTCCTTCATTCTGTCATGTGTACTATTTATTAACATTTTTCCTTTTTATTATTTTATTTTACATTACTTTTTATATTTATTATATTGATAAGTATACCATTGTTGTATCTGCATACTTATTGCATATATATGTGTGTATATGCATGTATATGTATGTATTTGTGTGTGTGGTGGGTGTGTAGATGCATCAATATGTATATGTATATATATATATATATATATTTTTTTGTGTTTGTCTAACCATACAACGTTGCTACCATCCGTGCGTCACTGCATGGGTGCCCACTGAAAATCAGTGCTGGGTAACCTGTATGCCTGGCTTATACTGAGTGGGTGACCCTTTTAGCATAGGCATGTTGTCAGCCTCTCCTTTCTAATTCTTCTGTTTAAATTTTTCAACTCTTATGTTTTTATTACTTCCACTGTCACATCTTGATTGTCTTTTTTTTATTTTTTATTTATGCTGCATCGTGCCTGGTGCTAAATAAATGTTTTTCTTTCTTTTCTTTCTATACCAAACTCATACAAAGCCGTCAGGTGTCATAACAGTTGAATAGGGGAGAGCACAAGACAGAAACTGAACAGCAGTACTTTTTGATCACCTCTTAACCTTGACCACCAGTTGTGTGTAAACAACAAGCTAATAAGTGCTCACACACCACAGTCACACATACGCAACAGATTTTTAAATGTAAGTTTAAGGTTTCATTGTTTTAATTCTTTTACTAAAAATCTTACTTATATAAAAAATTATAACAAATTCTTAAATACTAATGAAGGATGAATTGTAGCTTCGCACTGTGGGCACATAGGTATTAGTTTTGACACGGTAGTCAAAGGGTTGAACTATATTATCCAATCATCTTGACAAATGTAGCTATTTAGAAGAGTTTAAGTAATATTTAATAATGTTGGTTTTAATATAAACATTAACGAAAATATTGTTCATTGTTTACACACAGGGCAGTAAATAGGTAACTTGTGCCGGAATACTGAAACGTTACTCAATTTTAAGTCTTGCTCAAATATTGTGCCATCTCTGTCATTTTACAAAGAATTTGTACTTAAGCACAACTTGACACGAAAATTGAGTAGTGTTTCAGTATTCCGACATTAACTTTATAGATTAGGTAATGGACATAATGCACCACTTTATTACTGTACACTTCAACATTTTTAGTGAAGTAATTTAAATTCTGACTATGTTGATGCGTGTTATTGACCTGTCATCTACATTTTTGTGAGCATGTATTGGGATCTTTAAATTAGTAACTTTTCATTTAGAATTAAGTATTTATTTACTCGTGAGTCTACAATTTAATGAACAAACATTAACATTGTTAAACCAGTGTTTTAGAACAGTCTACAACATGAGTGTTCCTATTCTGTCACAAAATTAATTTAGTTAGCTTCACTAACCTGACCAATGGTGTAGCTTTCTGTAAATTGAGTCCCCAACTCTCAACAAACTCATAGTTCTTCCTTTTACTGTACTGGATCACATCGTTGGCCAAATAAAACAGGACCAGTCTCTGTTCTACCTTCACCCTTTTCAACACATTCAACCAACTGGAAACTATCTTTTTATGATGCGGCCTTTGCTTCAAACACCACGCCGACAAACCCTGGATACTTTCCTGAGTATCCTTCAAGTGCATTAATCGTTTCTCAAATGCTAAAGTGTTAAATTCTTCAGCTTCACCCATTGTTATCAAACTAACGAAGTATCACTGACACATTATATTTTTCAAAAGATTCATTACATGTCAGTTTATTAACATACTTTTCATATTAACACAATGACCATTGAAAGATTGTCATAAAAATTCGACACACAGCAAGAAAATACCAACAAATAAACTAAGAGAAAAACCGCGTTGTTAGCACTAATAAGATATCGTACTTATTATGTATACTTTTCGGTGGAATATCAAACATTGTTTAATGCCACTAAGAAAATCTGTAAACAATTATATCACTCGAACGTTTCACTCCGTGAATAATTCTAAACAAATAATATACAGCTAAATTAGAAATTGTTACGGAACTGGGTAGTAGGAGCAGTGCCAAAGACAACAACCGCCATTTTCTTTAATAGTTGTTTCTAAAATCATAGTTAGGCATATGCATTTTACATATACAGCCTAATCTACTCTACTGCTAACAGTTTGTAGGCGTAATGACAATGACTGAAAAATCTTAAAATTATTGTGAATATTAGATCCCGTTTGTGACTAAAAAACCTGTACATGATAGATACCTACATACATATATGAGATGAGATGCCTCGTTAAAATAAAATAAATCGGAATTTTAGTAACATTTCGTAATGTCACTGTCAGTGTTAAGTCAATTCAGTGCTCAGATTTTTTTATTGCTGTTCATTCATTCATTCATTGGTATCACTGAATTCACTGACGTATAGGTACTTGCAGAGATATTTTCACTATACTTTGACTATCGTAACTCTTTGACTGACGTGCACGCAAATGTTGTAAATACTTAGTTGTTTTGTTCATTTGTTGGCTTGGGCTAATAAGTGATCAGTGTTCCGTACCTATTGGAGGGATTAGGTATAAATAATTACTAAACCTAAGAACGGAACATCACAATACCTAAGAACGTAAGTATTTTATACATGTTAAGTATTATTTCGATAGTTATAAGTTAGTGCCTATTTTATAATTTAATTGCGCAAGTATAGGAAATAATCATGCCCATTATTTATCTTTCGATTTTGGCTATCTGCATCGATAAGTATTTGTGTAGGTATTTAATATTTCATGTTATGTTAAAAATAGTAAGCATAATTATTATTAAGGCAAATATAAATAGGAACTGTCTGCGTAAAATGAAGATGAACCAATGTGAAGCGCCGGTAGGTATTAATCGGCCTCGCATTTATGCAATTTCTTGTCTATTGCATTTTAAAGGAATTCAATCTTCCTATTTGTTATAGATAAAAATACGGATTTTTGGGTTAGTGAACATACGGCACGAGTGCGGCTGACTAATCGTGAGGCCTTGGGGATATTACGTATTGCGTCATACTTAAATTTGGTTGCTGTTTTGGATCCAATATAGACATTTTTTCCACTGATGATCTGTAGATACAGGTCTAGTCTAACCTGTAGTACCTACCCAGTAGTACTTAGTAACTTAACGAAATATTAGGTACCTATTAAGGTGTAGTTACCTACCATTTTAATTTCCTAATTCGGCTGTATGTTGTTATTTTGTATGTGTATATTATCCGATTACTCTGTTCCATGGAAACCCATGGACCCTGCGGGAACTTTTAAAAATTATAGGGATGGCTAGAGAGTTTCTTAATTTTTTTATAGTATTTAAAACTACTACAATTTGGTGAAGGCATGGAGTATGATGATAGAGTCGAGAGTCAGCCGAGTGAACTCCTCTGGAGGATTTACAGCAATGACCCCATGTTTGGGCTTAAATTATTTGTATTGATAAGAACATTACACGTAGATGGGGTGTGATGGTCATTAGGGGCCTGATGATGACGTAGTATTGTAGCTTATAATGGCACCGACTTCTAACCTCAGTGGGTGGGTCATCTATGTACTAATTATAGTTATTTTTTTCTTTTTAGTTTTGACTTTTTGTTTGTTAAGTATCAGTTTTTAGTTTTTTGAAGTCAGTTTTTTAAACACAGTTTTTATTTCATTATTTTACCATTTTCATTGTAAAGCTACATAGATCCATTTTGTCACTCAAAATCTGCATAGGTGCAAAGTTCTAAACAATACAAAATATACAAGCCCAAACACAAGGTAGTTACTGTGTACTGTTGAGGAGTTCCCTTAACAATTACACTTTTTCATCATCAGACCCTTAACGACAGTCCCACTGTATCTAGGTGTAAAGTACTCATCAATACAAATTAATCAAGCCGAAACACAAGGTAGTTAATATAAACCGCTGAGGAGTTCTCTCGACTGTCGGTTGGCTTCATCATCAGCTCGACTCCAGACCCTTATCAAATTGTAGTGTTTAAAAGTACTAATTGAAAAACATAATAGACGCATTACTCGCCCCTAGAATTTTCGAAAGTTCCCCTCGGTTACCCTAGGATCCCATCATCACATCCTGACCTCATGGAAATGCGACCATCTCGGGAGTCGTCATCATCATCTTATCAGCCACAGGACGTCCACTGCTGAACATAGGCCTTCCCCAATGACTTCCAGATAGGCCAGTTGGAAGCGACCTGCATCCAGCGGTTCCCTGCGACCTTAATGAGATCGTCTGTCCACCTTGTGGATGGACGTCCTACGCTGCGCTTGCCGGTACGTGGCCTCCACTCGAGAACCCCAACGGCCATCGATTCTCCGCGCTATGTGCCCTGCCCACTGCTACTTCAACTTGCTAATCCGCTGGGCTATGTCGGCGACCTTTGTTCGTTTGCGGATTTCCTCGTTTTTTATCCGATCTCGCAAAGAAACTCCGAGCATAGCCCTTTCCATAGCGCGCTAAGCGACCTTGAACTTCTTTATAAGGCCCACAGTGAGAGACCACGTTTCAGTTCCATAGTTCATCACTGGTAACACACTGATTATAGACTTTCGTCTTGAGGCACTGAGGTATGTTGGACGAGGAGATGTTGCGTAGTTTCCCGAACGCTGCCCATCCAAGTTGGATTTGACGATTGACCTCCTTCTCGAAATTGGACCTAGCTAGATCACTTGTATATATATTCGTCAACAATTTCGAGGGTAGAGCTCCCAACTGATATCGGGTAGGGCGTAACATGGGCGGTCGACATGACTTGTCTTGTCCATGTCTATTTGGAACCCTACCTGTTGAGAAACTCTACAGAGGTCATCACGTCGAGCATTGTGCTTAGATCCTCCAGCTATTCTGCGATGACCACAATGTCGTCGGCAGACCGGAGGTGTGTGATGTACTCGCCGTTGATGTTGATGCCAGATCCTTTCCATTCCAAAAGTTTGAAGGCGTCTTCCAATGATAAAACAGTTCGGATATTACGGATAGTTGTATTTCTCTTTTAAATATTAAATAAAAAGCTGTTATCTGGAAAATACAATAAGTTACTAGCTGTCACCCGCGTCTTTGGTTACTGCTCCAATCCTATTCGTAGTCGCAGTTTACTGTTATAATAACCTAAAGCCTTCTTCAACAAATGGACTACCCAACACTAAAAAAAATTATAATTCGAATTAGTAGTTCTTGAGATTAGCGCGTTCAAACAAACAAACAACGTATAGATTTATTGTTTTAATATACATGGTTAATCACTCTTGCAATTATTTATTCATTTCACAAATCACAATCAATCAATTTAGTGACAAAGATCATAACAACAACAACAATTTAATAATAAAAAGAGTTAGAAAAGTAGTCAAGATGTTTAAAAAATCACCGACCAAATCTGAAGTGCTTTATAAATACACTGCAGAAGGAGAACAAAAGAATGTTCGTCTTATCTTAGACTGCAAAACAAGATGGAGCAGTCTTGCTAATATGATTGATCGGTTCTTAACATTAAAAGATTTTGTATTCAAAGCATAAATTGATTTTAAATCTGATATACCATTTACCGATACGGAATTACAACATCTTAAAGAAATTTCGGAATCTCTTAATATAATTAAAGCTACGGTAGAAGCGATCTGTGTAGAAGATGCAAACTTAATGACTGCTGACACAGCACTAACATTTATGATTAAAAAAATATCGGGACAAGATAGCGTTATCAGTAATGAACTTCTAGTATCACTCAAAAGAACAATATCACAACGACGAGTTCCAGAATTAAACGGTACAATGGGATATTTACACAACTCTCACAATTTTTATGAAGAGAGAAGTACACACGGAATGTCCTTTTGAAAACCCTTCAAACGAATCTGTGTGACTGACAATTGTTAAAATTATTTCTACACTAGCTTTTACCCGCGGCTTCGCTCGCGTCACAAAAGGATAAAAATTAGCCTGTGACATATACCAATACACACAGCGCCATCTATACCAATAATTTCGTTTTCCCTCGAGAATATCAAATTTTTTCGGGATAAAAAGTACGTCTGCAAAAATTCAAAGCAATCGATCTAGTAGTTACGGCGTGAAAGTGGAACAAAGAATCAAACAAACAAACTCACTTTCCGATTTATAATATTAGTAAGGATTTTTTGCCACACAACAACCAGATCAAACAATCGTATCTTCAGCGGATAATACACAAGATACAGAAGGTTGCTCTTCTTCAACTGTAAGCGTATCAATAAAAACACAAATACGAGAAGAAATCATGCGGTTTATGAGTCAGCCATCTTCAGCGAAGCAATCAAATTTTTCAATAAATGATTTAGACACTACAATTAAAGTAGAGATGGCATTATTTGATGAGAATGGTCAAAGAAGCAGAAATTTAGAAAAAGTTTACAATCTACTTTTAACAATACCACCGACCAGCGTTGAAGGAGAAAGAGTATTCTCTGCTACGGGATATTTATGTAACCATTTAAGAACTTCCATGAAAGAAGATTCATTGGATAGTTTAAGCTTTTTAAGATCACATTACCAGAATTTGGATAAAAAATAATTTAAAAATAAGTACGTAATATTATATTATGAAAAGTGATTTGATTATTTTGAGATATTTTACTCATTTTTGTTTTATTATATTTGATTTTTACTATTGCTGATTAATAATTGAGCTGATTTGCCAGGGAATGTGATATTTTTATTTAATTATTATGTTTTAAATAGGTTTATTTGATTGGGATATTGTGATTTGTGATAAATGTAAGATCTCATTTTTAATTAGAATTATTTTTAGTATGAGATGAATAGATACAAAAACGGATATTGCAAGCCCTAGACATGGCTCAGAAGTGAGATGGGTCTGTAATTTTTCAGTAGTGTATAATCTCCTTTCTTGAAGAACAGCACCACCACACCTCTGCCTCATGCCGCCGGCGTTACTCCTTCGAATATGACGTAATTGAAGAGCTTCTGAAAGACTCTCAGTACCGGCGTTCCGCCCGCTTTCAGAAGCTCTGATGTGATTCCGTCTTCACCCAGCGCCTTGTTGTTCTTAAGCTGCTTGAGGGCCATTCTAATCTCGTATAGGCTGATGTCCGGTATATCCTCGGTATAATGTCTGGTAAGCTCTTGGATCTGCAACTGAGCTAACAGGTTTAGTGACCGATGCGTATAGCTGACTATAAAACGTTTCGATCTCCCCCAAAACTTCGGCTTTCGTCGACGCCACACTACTATCTTCCGCCTTCAGCTTCGTCAGCTGGCTTTACCCAATAGACACGTCCCTAGCGAACACTTTGGAGCCTTGGTTCCGTTCTATCGCTTCTTTAACCATATTGACATTAAAGTTGCGGATATCGTGTCGCAGGGACTTCCATATCTGTCTATTGAGCTGCCGATGTGCTTTAGCATCGGCAGAGGACTGGAGCACTAAAACACGTCGTTCTGACATGAGTCTGAGGGTACAATCGGTAAGCTTCTGCGGTCTGTCTTTTCGGCGGGGTCTAAAAAAACTTCGACCCAACCGCATGGGCAGTTTCTACGAACCTGTTGTTAATCTCTTCCACTGACTCGCTATTCTCCAGACACTCAAAACGATTTGATAGCTCGATCTGAAAGCTCTCGGGGCAACCGATATGTGCATTTGAAGGTCGGAGCGTGGACTTCATCAGACGGGATCTTTCCGACGTAAAATTGATATTCAATGTGCCTCTGACCAGTCGGTGATCGCTACCGGTTTTTACCTTATGGATTATAGAGACATCATTGAATATCTGTCGCTTTGTGGTCATGATGAAGTCGATCTCATTTTTCGTGGAACCGTCCGGGCTCATCCAGGTCCATTTCCTGTGAGACGGCTTCTGAAAAAGACGTTCATCGCAAAGAGGTCCTCCTTCTCCAGAAATTCGGCCAGCCTCTGTCCTCTATGGTTCCGTTGCCCACATCCAAATTGCCTCACTCTCAGCTCGTTATCACCTCGAGTTCCCAGTTTCGCGTTGAAGACCCCCATAACAACACTGAAGTAGGTTTTATTGGTGACCTTCAACGAGTATCTGTTGGATACTCTGAGTATCAGGTACACCACCCTGCTCGACACACTTCCGATGATAACAATGTTGTTGACGAGGGACTTGTGGACGAGAAACCCGACACCACCTTGGGACAGTTGGTCGCCCGGTAGTAGAATAGGTTGCCGGGCCCTAGGGTTATCGTGTCCTCGCCCTCTCGTCGGACTTCTGACAACCCTACAATACTCCAGTGCAACCTACCCAATTCCTCTTCCAGCTCAACAATCTTCTCGTCTGTCCTCAAAGTGCGAACATTGTGCGTTACCAGGGCCAGTCGTCGTCGGGGGTGGTAGCCTTTTCTCCACCTCCGGGGATTCTTAGCACCCCGTGTCCCGCCGTCAGCCTGACCACGGTACCCAGAAACGGCGGGACTGCCGGAGACTGGAGGCCTAGTTTTATCTGAGCAGTCCATTGGGGGGATTTGCCAATACTCGCCACGCTTGGCAGGCGGGTTGGCGAGCGCAGTTAGGTCACCGATAGTTTTGTAGAATGCTGCTCCCCATTCCTCGGTGTCTGGTCGCAGTTTTAGGACGTACCCGGGTCCAGTCCTCGGGAGTATACCCTTTCAAACAAAACAATTTTGGAAATCGGTTCACAAATACCGGAGTAATGCGCGAGCAAACAAAAAAAACTCCTTTTTTTGAAGTCGGTAAAAAAGGATATTTACAATCACAAAACTGAATAGAAAAAGAAAGTAGGCAAATGTAATTAAAATACTGAAGATGAGCAGCCTTAACGCATGTTTACGTACCACGCGGCTGTAGGTATTTAACTCTGTCGTGCGGCTGAATTACACTACTGTATGATAATGTAGGTTTCATCTATATCTATAGATATAATAAAACTGTAGAAGTGTAAGTTCTGTACATTGAAAATATTAAAAACCAGCTTTTCGCCGCGACTTCGTCCGCGTATAGTAATGTCTTCTGGCAAATTTTGGATTTTTTAATTAGTTTTTTCCAAGGTTAACAACTCCAATGGTATGGAACAAATCTCATCAGCATCGATTCAGTTATATTTATTGTGAAATGTTGTTCATTTTGGAGATGTTAGAACATAAACAATCCCACGTGTATTTTAGTCGTATACAAACTTCATTTTTGTAAACCTGCCCTCAATAGGTACCTACTAGGCAAAAGCTGGTCCATGAATAAAATGTATTCAGTTAATTGCTTCATAATTTTTTCTTAAATCCCTGATTCTGATTCAGCGAAATACTAATTACCTATTATTAGTCCTTGAAGAGTTGTCTATTGGCAACCAAAGGTTTAAGCAATATAATTACCTACACATGTACACTGTGTAAATGACAGTAGTGTCGATGTGTAGCGCTGCAAACTAATTAGCGGTGCTTTGTGTACCTACCTATTTCGCTTCCTCATCACAGTCATCAATCGGTCTTTTCATGCATGCACGTCGGTTAAAGGTTCTTTTAATTTAGCGTTTCTTTAATGTATCGCCAATCTGGATTGGGAGTCGCGGAGAACCTAACGGGTTACCGGTGCTCCGGCTCGGCGTGCAGGAGAAGGAACGGGGTGGTTTTTAATCAGTAAGAGTCTGACACTCCCTCCCGCCTTAGCTAGGCGGGAGCAGTCATTAGATAATCCCCCCCCCCCCCCTTAAAAAAAAGTCTGGATTAGGAAGACGGGATTGATATTTACTTAACGTCGGCCTATCTGCGTAAACCGAGCAATAAAAGACTCAGTGTTACAGCCCTGCATCTCGAAAAATTATAATAGGCGTACCTATAACCGTGTAATCACATAGGTATTATGATATAGATAAGACACTAACTTAAAAAAAATTGCTTTATTTTTAGATTCAACATATTTTGTCAAGATGGTTATATTGACGGGGAAGAACTTAGGTGAGAGACACAAGCATTTGAACGCAAAAGTTAAAGAAGCCAGAGAAAAGCTTGTTGACTTTGATGAGTTAAAACAAAAACCCGAACAATCAGATGTAGACAAGCTGTTCAAAATTGCCCTTGCTTCAAAGTATATGAATATCGACTACATAGTTGAAGTCCTTAAATGTGGAGATCCTTTGTACATTTCGAAAGCCCTTAAATGTGATTGGATGTATGACGATAAGTATGCCCATATCATCAATCCAGAGTATCTTCAAAATAATATCATTCCGTTCATGTCAACAAAAATGAAGAAAAAGATGCTAACAGGTATTTCGATCCACGTCAGGAATGAATCAAGAGCCGCTGAGTTTTATAATTATTGCATGGACATAGGATGCACAAATATTGCAATAAAATTTTTATATTTTACAAGTGATAACTTCAAACTCGAAGTTTTAAAAGATCCGTCGAAACGTGTATATCTACCCCCAAATGACGAAGATGGCGCTGACTTAAAACACTTAATTGGCTCTTCATTTACTCTGGCAGAGGTGTTTCTCGAATTTGACTTCATCAATACAAATCGAGTGCTTTCTGATCTGAGATATTTATACACGTTTTCTGAAGATAAATATTTAAATCTTTTGGAAAAATATACTGCGATGAAGAGTTGGCAGATAGAACGATTTTTAGGTTTACGTATTTCCAAAAGTATTATGACAAAACATAAGGATAGGGTTTTAAAAAAATCTAAACTCTATGTAAGTATACTGAACAAAAATGCCATAATTAAATACAGTACTGCAGAAGACGCAAAAATGTATGCTATTGCCTTTTTCCCGAATGATATTAATGAATTTTGGTGGAATAAAAACTATCTAAGTGATCAAAAATACTATCTTGATAAAATTACCACAGGAAAGTTTCAATTTATAAAGGAAATATTTACATCCAAGTTTCCAGAAGAGGAATTTGAAATGCAATTAAGATTTTATGAACGGAACTGCTATGAAATTATGACTGCAGAAGAAAAGGAAACATGGGCTTTACAACAAATAGCCAGTGGAAAAGAGATTCTTGGCAAAGATCAAGACTATAAATGGTATAAGTTTATCAATTTCGAGAAAGCGTTTAAAGAAATGAAAAAATTAGTATTGATCACTCCGGATAGGACTAAACGAGCAGACATGATGCTAATTCTAGTTGAAAGTGCAAAAAATCAACGTGAACTCGAGACACTTTTAAAACACTTTTACGAGAGACACGTTAACGAACAAAAATATGTCAAAGAAAATTTCCTTGACAAAGTAATGAATTATTTTAATGTCTACGACTTTGACACAGATTGCTGGGAAGCTTTGAATATCATGTTTCACAATTTAGAAGTCTACAGTTCGACCGACTTCATTAGCAAGAGTGAATACAGAATAATTGCTCTAATTTACCACATAATTCATGATATTCAAATCCCACAAGCTTTAAGGAACCATATTGCATCCGGACTACACTTTTATTTATTAAAAAACAATACTGAGAAGCTGACCACAGAGCAAACAGAGAAGGTATTTCAGTATCTTTTCAACTTGTATATGGACAAAATTCGCGAATTTGAAAATGTACCTTATGATGACGAGGTGAAAGGCAGCCTTAGAAAATATATTTTCAACATTTTAGATTTATTGACAGAGTACGAAAAAACAAAAGAGCATATTCCTGAACTTGTTAATCACTTTATAAAGTTGGATTGGTCAGAATTCAAACACCACAGATTAGTGCAAAGTGCATCCGAACATGCACCACCCCTTAATTTGCTGCGTGACTTAAAATCAGATTCAAAACTTCTGATTGAACATCTTCCACTCGTGAAAAAGAAAATTAATGAGTCCTTCACGTTCAACATCAGTACGGTGCTTAAAAAGTTAAGGATCTATTTTTCGCAAGATGTTGCAAAAGAATGTTTGATATTTTTTAATTCTTGGTTAGATGAAGAAAAATTATGGCATAAAGAAGCGCAAGCAATAGTACATGCCTTATTTCAACTAGGAGGCGAAAACTTTAAAGTAGATTTAATGAAAAAATTTGCTCCAAAGGAAGCTACTATTGATCATAGCAAAATCGACGAAAAGTTATTACGCATTCAAATGGCTATATGTTCGCACGTTTTGTACTCGCGACCTCCGGTTCCTCTCGAATGTATACTCATGTACTTAAAAGGAGATTACGTACCATTTGGTTTGCCAATGTTTAATGCGCTCTTGTCTAACCTACCGCTACCCCTTTGTATGAATTTTGTTGAAAACTTACTGGATAAACCCGTATCCGTCCAGAAACATGGAATACGCCTCGCTTTTCAATGTTTCGATACACAGAATTTTAATACAGTTATTCTTCGGGCATGGAAAAAAAAAAAAAATGTTTCCCTCAGAGCAGTTATATTTGATGCACTTTACAATAAAATAACGATGGTGACAAGCGACCAAGAAGCGCTATTTAACACTTTAAAATCTATAATTTTAACACTACGACACGACGATGATGACGAAATATTCAACCTTATAACATCTTGTAAACTCCCTGAACATTTCTCGATAGAAAGTATTGAAGTGGCATGGAAAGTGGTTCGTCAGTTTCCGCCAAAACTGACGAATCTCAACCGTATGTATGGTCTCATATCTTGTATCACTAAATATGTTCAAAAACTTCGCCAAGACTTTGTCTACGAAATAGTAGATACGTTTATTGCATCCGAATTTAAACCAAATGAAGGGGATGCTAAAGAAAAATTAAGCTTAGAAGCAATTTCTTTGATTGAAAGCAAATGGCGCCTTACAGTCTATTTTATCGTATACTTGAATGACGATGACCTTGATAAAAAAATTGAGCTAACTAGATTAATTTTAATGAAGTGTTTTATGTCTCACGAAGAAAATAAACACAGTTTAATACAAACTGGGATGAGATTCATATCACAGCTTGAAAATGCGAGTTACAGTCAAACTCCATCCCGTTTCGTAAATATTAATAGTTTAATGCAGTCAGTGATACAGACACTGCAAGGTGTGTTTACCATGGAAGAAATTTACCTACAAATATGGGAACTGCAGCTGGGGATTGTGGCCAGAAAAGCAATTAATAAATTAGCACATGAAAATACTGTGCATGTCTTTGCTAAGGAGGTCGGAAACTTGGTTAAGGAGCATGTTGATAAAGGATTGTTTTTTTATTCCTTCATGTTACGGATACATTCTTTATTGCACCAGAAGATCATTAATGTTACAAATACATTAGAGCACCAAGATGTTGATGACTTTTGTGTCAAGTTATGTAGAGAATTATTGTTATTTGAAATGATTGAGATCTATTGGTTGGTTTTATATCTACTACCAGTTTATTCGTCGGATCTGACTTCTAAAGTGGACCGGAACGATTATGTGTACATTACAAATACGTTAAATAACTTAAATAATAAAGAGATACGTTTCTATATGTTCAATAAATTTGCTGGTCCTGGGCAAGATTTAATTTTAAATTAGTTCCTAATATTAGGAACTAATGCAATGATAGAAATTGTATGAATAAGAGTCCCGTGGTGACTTGAAACTAGTAGTCTTTCATTTATGTATATACACGGTATTTTTTATCAAGTTTCGTAAACTGTAATAATATACTTATAATCATTATGTTCTTTCTTGAATACAAGTTTTTGTGTTTTAGAAAAAGGTTTTAAAATGTAATACAAACAAGGAAATTCGTAGGTATTGTATTTCCTTAGCTAGAGGCCGAACCTGCTGCGGCGGCCCGCTCGGGCGCTGCTTATGGCACAGAGGGTCATGGCGATCCGAATGATCCGCAGATACCGCACGATCTCTGGTGAGTCGGCCAACTTCCTTGCCGGATTACCGCCGTGGGATCTGGAGGCGAAGGTGCTCGCGCGCGTGTATCACATGCGCGCGGAGGCACGTCGCCGGGGCGAAACTCCGCTGCCGCGCCAGATAAGTGCGTGGCGGGATGAGCTCCGGCGCAATCTTATGGCGGAATGGCAGCAACGACTGTCGCAACCGAGGGCTGGGCTCGCTGCCATTGCAGCGGTAAGTCCCCTCTTTGAGGAGTGGCTTGAGAGACGCTACGGCGTCCTCACCTACCGCCTGACGCAAGTCCTCACCGGACATCGAAGTTTTGGGAGGTACCTGTGTCTGATGTGGCGGGAGGAAACGCCCGGGTGTCATCACTGCGAGGACCGCCCTGAGGACACGGTGGAACACACTGTAGCGGAATGCCCTGCGTGGGCTGAGCACCGCCGTGCCCTCAGGAAAGTGATCGGCGATGGCGGCCTCTCGCGTCCGGGCCTAGTGCGGGCCATGATGCGGAGCGAGGGGGACTGGGATGCCGTCTCCTCCACCGTAAGCGCGGCCTGCGGACGGCGAGCATGGGTGGCTCCCCGTCCGATCAGAAACAGACCCGAGCCACAGATGGGGCCCAATAGGGCCGATGCCGATTCGGAGTCGCGGAGAACCTAACGGGTAACCGGGGCTCCGGCTCGACGTGCAAGAGAAGGAACGGGGTGGTTTTTAGTCAGTAAGAGTCTGACACTCCCTTCCGCCTCACCCAGGCGGGAGCAGTCATTCGATGATTTTCCCCCCTTAAAAAAAAATCGTAGCTATTAAAATAGCATTCAGAATATAAAGCCAAACTCAATACCATTTAGTTCATTAAATATTGATGCAATAGGCGCTAGTATTGCAACCCGAGAGTCCGAAATTTTACAACACCAATGTCGATCGATCGGAATTTGATTCAAGAGTAAGCCCACTGGTATCGCTTTGGTGCTGTGTCTTGACCCTTATGATGATTTAAAGATCATAATATATTTATCTTCCAGTCATTAGACCAGGTCTGAATGACTGTAATGATTTCGCTTTTTTATCGCGTTTGTTAAGGACAGAGGAAGGTTCTTATAAAGGTAATATTCATCGATTAAAATCAGGAAATGACTAACTTGATTGCCCCTTAGGTCTCTTGTTCTTGCTATATGTCTGTAAGTCATGTGGTGTTAAGTTCGCCTTAATTATTGATGTACCTCATTCAATTCAGTATGTAATAATGTTACTTACTAGTTTTAAGCTCTAAAAAAATAGATTTTTTTTACATGTATTTAATATTGAATGTTATACTTATTTTTAAAAAAAATCATTTTTTATTATACAATTTGAAATATATATCACATCTTTTTTATTTATTTGTTTAGAATTAAAATATTCTGTACCAAGTACATACCTCTATTACCTCAATTGGTTTTAAATAATCGCCTGGAAATTAAGATAAAATTAAATCTTTGTTTTTTATCATCAATAACCCTGCTTCCAGCCAGAATTTATTTTTACCGACTTCAAAAAAAGGAGGAGGTACTATTTTCGGCTGATAGTTTTTTTTTGTTTGTTCGCACAATACTCCATCATTTGTGAACCGATTTCCAAAATTCTTTTTTTTTTGTTTGAAATGGTATACTCCCGAGATGGTCCCATTTCCATAAGATCAGGATCTGATGATGGGATCCTAGGGAAACCGAGGGGAACTTTCGAAAATTCTATGGGCGAGTAATGCGTCTATTATGTTTTTCAATTAGGATTTTTAAACACTACAATTTGATAAGGGTCTGGATTCGACCTGATGATGGAGCCGATAGGCAGTCGAGGGAACTCCTCAGCGGTTTATATTAACTACCTTGTGTTTGGGCTTGATTAATTTGTATTGATTAGAACTTTACATCTATGTAGATTATAAGTAACAAAACGGGTATATTTAGCTTTACACTGAAAATCATAAAATAAAAAAATAAAAACTGCGTTTAAAAAACCGACTTCAAAAAACCAAAAACTAATAACAAACAAAAAGTCAAAACTAAAAAGCAAAAAATAACTATTATTAGCACTGATAGGTTACTCACCCACTGATAGGTTAGAAGTCGGTGCCATAAGCTCATATCATAATGATATAACTGTCCACAAAATTGTGAATTCGGTACCTATTAAGGTTTTAATGAATAATTTTGTATGGAACTTATGGCACCGACTTCTTACCTAACAGTGGGTGAGTAACCTATCAGTACTAATATTAGTTATTTTTTGCTTTTTAGTTTTGACTTTTTGTTTGTTATTAGTTTTTTACCTACAATGGGGATGATGACAGGGTATGAAAATTAAAAATATAATTAGTCCGTAAATTAGGTAATGAAAAAATATTAGACACGTATTTTTTTATTTTGTCGTATAATAAAACAATACTTAGATAAAACGAATCAAAGTTTAGGAGTGGGGGCTAAAACGTCATTTCTTAGTATAAAATGTACTGAGAAGTGACGTCACGCGACATTTCAAATCAATATATCTTCGAAACTATTCGTTTCTGTGAGAAAATAAAAAATACGTGTCTAATGTTTTTAAATAATCTATCAGACGGACATTAAAATAAAAATTAGTCGTCTACCCTATTTGTACCAGTTATTAAGTAGCCTGTCCACGAACAACAGCAAATAACTGAACTAAAACTTCAAAGTAATTGACGGATGCACAGTAGTCTATTTCTATGTCACATAAACGCACCTTTTAGTGAGGGGGAAAGTCGTCTTAAGTCATTATAAGAACAAAATGTTAATCCTAAAATTGTACTTTTGTTAAATAAATAAAATAAATAAATCTCCTCCCGCCTTAGCGTACGCCGCGTCGCGTTCATCGCAGACTTTAAAGAACCATCAGACCACCACGGATGGGGCCCAACAGAGCTCGGGTTGCTGGGGCTCCAGCACGAAGAGTAGCCGGAGTAGTTGGAGGAGCTGGCTAATCAAAGCGGCAAACTCGTTTCGATTACTACATAAAATAAAGTCGTACTATGCCCTTAGGTTCAGGTAAACTGTCGTTGTTCGCCGTCCGCAGACCCATACTTACGGTGGCCGGAGATCGTCACGCGATCACCGACACCCGGTGTCTCTCGCGACGGCTGGGGCGTGATGAGGATCGTTTTGTCAAGCGCCTTTTGCGAATCTCGCTGATCAAGAAGAAGGGTTTACTAATAATTTAACGTCGCTTATCTGCTCAAAATAGGTAATAAAAGACTGTTACAGCCAAACATCTCGAAAGATTAATTAGTCGTGGGTCGTGTCTACAACTATAGTCCATCTGTTTAGGTAATTAACTAAAGGTAAACAAAGAAAACCACGTGACACAGAGATACTTAACCTATTATTACTTCAAATATTTCTCGTGTTTTAATTTTAACTAAATTCACTTTAAAATCGTTCATTTGTCATACACACACATACTAGTACAAATGCCTAAATCGTACAAGAGCGTAGCCTATGGGTCTATTTCATTATCATGTTTAAATAGAAACTATTCTGAATCTGATGTACGGATTTCTTTCTTGTACGAATATGTGTCTTTGGGCCAAGTTTCTTCAATATATTTGAACACATTAATTACAAACGATGAATAACCTATACTTAAATAACTTAATAACAAAAACAAAACAAAGAAACAAGATAAATTCAACAAAATAGGAACGCGAGCGCAAACGACGAGAGAGCTGTCAATGGCGCCTGATTAACCGACTAAACATAATACGCGTGTAATTTCATTGTCGCGCTACATCTTAGTCGTACTCTTTAATTTGACAACATTATTTTGCTTCGTTCTTAAAGAAAGGTTTTGGATACCTGGGATTTTAGGCTCTTTTTGGTGTCTATTGTAATAAAATATTATATTATTTAATAAATGTTATTAAATTATTATGCTCAAACAGATATAAGTATATAATATTTACTTAGAAATAAGTGAAAAGGAACAGAAACAGAACATTTAACTCGTCGAGTACCGGTTTTATAGACACAATTAAAGAACAATAGGTCGCGGTCACCGGTGACCGCTTGGTGTTTGACAGTTTAATAGCGAAAACTGTCGTAAAAAGGGAAACAATTTTATTTTCTTATGAAGTATTTTGAATCATGTAAATGTCAACTATAAAGAACTCTTTTTATGGTTTGTTTACAAATAGTTAACTACCTAAATAGACGGAGTATAGGCAACCATAGAACAAAGAGTTGATGAGACATTAATTTTATGAATTTGCTTTTTTTTAGATTCAACATATTTTGTCAAGATGATTATATTGAAGGGAAATAACTTGGGCGAGAGACACAAGGATTTGAACGCAAAAGTTAAAGAAGCCAGAGAAAAGCTTGTTGACTTTGATGAGTTAAAACAAAAACCCGAACAATCAGATGTAGACAAGCTGTTCAAAATTGCCCTTGCTTCAAAGTATATGAATATCGACTACATAGTTGAAGTCCTTAAATGTGGAGATCCTTTGTACATTTCGAAAGCCCTTAAATGTGATTGGATGTATGACGATAAGTATGCCCATATCATCAATCCAGAGTATCTTCAAAATAATATCATTCCGTTCATGTCAACAAAAATGAAGAAAAAGATGCTAACAGGTATTTCGATCCACGTCAGGAATGAATCAAGAGCCGCTGAGTTTTATAATTATTGCATGGACATAGGATGCACAAATATTGCAATAAAATTTTTATATTTTACAAGTGATAACTTCAAACTCGAAGTTTTAATAGATCCGTCGAAGTTCGATCATCTGCGCCCGATGTTTACCTGTAAGGATGGTGCTGTCATAAAAAATTTCATTGGTACTTCATTCACTCTGGCAGAGGAGTTTCTCGAATTTGACTTCATCAATAAAAATCAAGTGCTTTCTGATCTGAGTTATTTATACACATTTTCTCAAGATAAATATTTAAATCTATTGGAAAAATATACTGAGATAGGGAGTTGGAGGATAAAACGATTTTTAGGTTTACGTATTTCCAAAAGCATTATGACAAAACATAAAGATAAGGTGTTAAAAAAATCTAAACTCTATGTAAGTATACTGAACAAAAATGTCATAATTAAAAACAGTACTGAAGAAGACGCGAAAATTTATGCTATTGCCTTTTTCCCGAATGATATTAATGAATTTTGGTGGAATAAAAACTATCTAAGTGATCAAAAATACTATCTTGATAAAATTACCACAGGAAAGTTTCAATTTATAAAGGAAATATTTACATCCAAGTTTCCAGAAGAGGAATTTGAAATGCAATTAAGATTTTATGAACGGAACTGCTATGAAATTATGACTGCAGAAGAAAAGGAAACATGGGCTTTACAACAAATAGCCAGTGGAAAAGAGATCCTTGGCAAAGGTGAAGACTATAAATGGTATAAGTTTATCAATTTCGAGAAATCGTTTATAGAAATGAAAAAATTAGTATTGATCACTCCGAATAGGACTAAACGAGCAGACATGATGCTAATTCTAGTTGAAAGTGCAAAAAATCAACGTGAACTCGAGACACTTTTAAAACACTTTTACGAGAGACACGTTAACGAACAAAAATATGTCAAAGAAAATTTCCTTGACAAAGTAATGAATTATTTTAATGTCTACGACTTTGACACAGATTGCTGGGAAGCTTTGAATATCATGTTTCACAATTTAGAAGTCTACAGTTCGACCGACTTCATTAGCAAGAGTGAATACAGAATAATTGCTCTAATTTACCATATAATTCATGATATTCAAATCCCACAAGCTTTAATGAATCATATTGCCTCCGGACTACACTTTTATTTATTAAAAAACAATACTGAGAAGCTGACCAAAGAGCAAACAGAGAAGGTATTTCAGTATCTTTTCAACTTGTATATGGACAAAATTCGTGAATTTCAAAATGTACCTTATGATGACGAGGTGAAAGGCAGCCTTAGAAAATATATTTTCAACATTTTAGATTTATTGACAGAGTACGAAAAAACAAAAGAGCATATTCCTGAACTTGTTAATCACTTTATAAAGTTGGATTGGTCAGAATTCAAACACCACAGATTAGTGCAAAGTGCATCCGAACATGCACCACCCCTTAATTTGCTGCGTGACTTAAAATCAGATTCAAAACTTCTGATTGAACATCTTCCACTCGTGAAAAAGAAAATTAATGAGTCCTTCACGTTCAACATCAGTACGGTGCTTAAAAAGTTAAGGATCTATTTTTCGCAAGATGTTGCAAAAGAATGTTTGATATTTTTTAATTCTTGGCTAGATGAAGAAAAATTATGGCATAAAGAAGCGCAAGCAATAGTACATGCCTTATTTCAACTAGGAGGCGAAAACTTTAAAGTAGATTTAATGAAAAAATTTGCTCCAAAGGAAGCTACTATTGATCATAGCAAAATCGACGAAAAGTTATTACGCATTCAAATGGCTATATGTTCGCACGTTTTGTACTCGCGACCTCCGGTTCCTCTCGAATGTATACTCATGTACTTAAAAGGAGATTACGTACCATTTGGTTTGCCAATGTTTAATGCGCTCTTGTCTAACCTACCGCTACCCCTTTGTATGAATTTTGTTGAAAACTTACTGGATAAACCCGTATCCGTCCAGAAACATGGAATACGCCTCGCTTTTCAATGTTTCGATACACAGAATTTTAATACAGTTATTCTTCGGGCATGGAAAAAAACAAAAAATGTTTCCCTCAGAGCAGTTATATTTGATGCACTTTACAATAAAATAACGATGGTGACAAGCGACCAAGAACCGCTATTTAACACTTTAAAATCTATAATTTTAACACTACGACACGACGATGATGACGAAATATTCAACCTTATAACATCTTGTAAACTCCCTGAACATTTCTCGATAGAAAGTATTGAAGTGGCATGGAAAGTGGTTCGTCAGTTTCCGCCAAAACTGACGAATCTCAACCGTATGTATGGTCTCATATCTTGTATCACTAAATATGTTCAAAAACTTCGCCAAGACTTTGTCTACGAAATAGTAGATACGTTTATTGCATCCGAATTTAAACCAAATGAAGGGGATGCTAAAGTAAAATTAAGCTTAGAAGCAATTTCTTTGATTGAAAGCAAATGGCGCCTTACAGCCTATTTTATCGTATACTTGAATGACGATGACCTTGATAAAAAAATTGAGCTAACTAGATTAATTTTAATGAAGTGTTTTATGTCTCACGAAGAAAATAAACACAGTTTAATACAAACTGGGATGAGATTCATATCACAGCTTGAAAATGCGAGTTACAGTCAAACTCCATCCCGTTTCGTAAATATTAATAGTTTAATGCAGTCAGTGATACAGACACTGCAAGCTGTGTTTACCATGGAAGAAATTTACCTACAAATATGGGAACTGCAGCTGGGGATTGTGGCCAGAAGAGCAATTAATAAATTAGCACATGAAAATACTGTGCATGTCTTTGCTAAGGAGGTCGGAAACTTGGTTAAGGAGCATGTTGATAAAGGATTGTTTTTTTATTCCTTCATGTTACGGATACATTCTTTATTGCACCAGAAGATCATTAATGTTACAAATACATTAGAGCACCAAGATGTTGATGACTTTTGTGTCAAGTTATGTAGAGAATTATTGTTATTTGAAATGATTGAGATCTATTGGTTGGTTTTATATCTACTACCAGTTTATTCGTCGGATCTGACTTCTAAAGTGGACCGGAACGATTATGTGTACATTACAAATACGTTAAATAACTTAAATAATAAAGAGATACGTTTCTATATGTTCAATAAATTTGCTGGTCCTGGGCAAGATTTAATTTTAAATTAGTTCCTAATATTAGGAACTAATGCAATGATAGAAATTGTATGAATAAGAGTCCCGTGGTGACTTGAAACTAGTAGTCTTTCATTTATGTATATACACGGTATTTTTTATCAAGTTTCGTAAACTGTAATAATATACTTATAATCATTATGTTCTTTCTTGAATACAAGTTTTTGTGTTTTAGAAAAAGGTTTTAAAATGTAATACAAACAAGGAAATTCGTATGTATTGTATTTCCTTAGCTAGAGGACCGTCCTGGGTGCTGACTCTTGAAACCAATCTCAATGAAATTTTAATCCAATGAAATCTCAATAAATATTCAATGTCAAAATTATACAACCCCTATCGTAGCTATTAAAATAGCATTCAGAATATAAAGCCAAACTCAATACCATTTAGTTCATTAAATATTGATGCAATAGGCGCTAGTATTGCAACCCGAGAGTCCGAAATTTTACAACACCAATGTCGATCGATCGGAATTTGATTCAAGAGTAAGCCCACTGGTATCGCTTTGGTGCTGTGTCTTGACCCTTATGATGATTTAAAGATCATAATATATTTATCTTCCAGTCATTAGACCAGGTCTGAATGACTGTAATGATTTCGCTTTTTTATCGCGTTTGTTAAGGACAGAGGAAGGTTCTTATAAAAGTAATATTCATCGATTAAAATCAGGAAATTACTAACTTGATTGCCCCTTAGGTCTCTTGTTCTTGCTATATGTCTGTAAGTCATGTGGTGTTAAGTTCGCCTTAATTATTGATGTACCTCATTCAATTCAGTATGTAATAATGTTACTTATTAGTTTTAAGCTCTAAAAAATTTGATTTTTTTACATGTATTTAATATTGAATATTATACCTATTTTTAAGAAATTTCATTTTTTATTATACAATTTGCAATATATCACATCTTTTTTATTTATTTGTTTAGAATTAAAATATTCTGTCCCAAGCACATACCTCTATTACCTCAATTGGTTTTAAATAATCGCCTGGAAATTAAGATAAAATTAAATCTTTGTTTTTGATCATCAATAACCCTGCTTCCAGCCAGAATTTATTTTTTACCTACAATTTGTACCAGTTATTACGTAGCCTGTCCACGAACAACAGCAAATAACTGAACTAAAGCTTCAAAGTCGCGCGCGCCTCAAAGAGCCATCAGACCACCACAGATGGGGCCCAATAGGGCCGATGCCGATTCGGAGTCGCGGAGAACCTAACGGGTAACCGGGGCTCCGGCTCGACGTGCAGGAGAAGGAACGGGGTGGTTTTTAGTCAGTAAGAGTCTGACACTCCCCTCCGCCTCACCCAGGCGGGAGCAGTCATTCGATGATTTTCCCCCATAAAAAAAAAGCTTCAAAGTAATTGACGGATGCACAGTAGTCTATTTCTATGTCACATAAACGCACCTTTTAGTGAGGGGGAAAGTCATCTCCTCCCGCCTTAGCGTACGCCGCGTCGTGTTTCTCGCACACCTTAAAGAACCATCAGACCACCACGGATGGGGCCCAACAGAGCTCGGGTTGCTTGGGGCTCCGGTACGAAGTGCAGGAGTAGGAACGGGGAGGTGTTTAGTCAGTAAGAGTCTGACACTTCCTCCCACCACCACCAGGCGGGAGAAGAAAATAGTTCACCTTTCTTACTCCTGCTTCTAACCGTAGACCCGGTAATCCGTTAAGTTCTCCGCAGCTCCGGATCGGGCGTCGCGTCGGCCGATGATGGCTCTTCTAGGCATGAGACGTGACATACCCACAGAGGCCTTAGTAGGTACGAGTTTGTTTTACGTTTAAAGTAATCGAAATGAGACCGCGTTCGGCGCCCTGATTAATTGGTTCAATGGAGCCGGCTAATCAAAGCGGCGAACTCGTTTCGATTACCACGTAAAATAAAGTCGTTCCATGCCATCCGGTTCATGTGAACTATCGTTGTTCGCCGTCCGCAGACCCGTAGTATTACGGTGGTCGGAGATCGTCACGCGATCACCGACACCCGGTGTCTCTCGCGACGGCTAGGGCGTGATGAGGATCGTTTTGTCAAGCGCCTTTTGCGAATCTCGCTGATCAAGAAGAAGGGTTTACGAACTAGGCAATAAAAGACTCAGTGTTACAGCCAAACATCTCGAAAGATTAATTAGTCGTGGGTCGTATCTACAACTAGGCAACCATAGAACAAAGAGTTGATGAGACATTAATTTTATGAATTTGCTTTTTTTAGATTCAACATATTTTGTCAAGATGATTATATTGAAGGGAAATAACTTGGGCGAGAGACACAAGGATTTGAACGCAAAAGTTAAAGAAGCCAGAGAAAAGCTTGTTGACTTTGATGAGTTAAAACAAAAACCCGAACAATCAGATGTAGACAAGCTGTTCAAAATTGCCCTTGCTTCAAAGTATATGAATATCGACTACATAGTTGAAGTCCTTAAATGTGGAGATCCTTTGTACATTTCGAAAGCCCTTAAATGTGATTGGATGTATGACGATAAGTATGCCCATATCATCAATCCAGAGTATCTTCAAAATAATATCAATCCGTTCATGTCAACAAAAATGAAGAAAAAGATGCTAACAGGTATTTCGATCCACGTCAGGAATGAATCAAGAGCCGCTGAGTTTTATAATTATTGCATGGACATAGGATGCACAAATATTGCAATAAAATTTTTATATTTTACAAGTGATAACTTCAAACTGAAAATCTTAAAAGATCCGTCGAAGTTCGATCATCTGCGCCCGATGTTTACCTGTAAGGATGGTGCTGTCATAAAAAATTTCATTGGTACTTCATTCCCTCTGGCAGAGGCGTTTCTCAAATTATATAACTATGGTGATAAAAAGCAGGTTCTCCGTAAATTAATTTATTTGTATGCATTTTCACAACATAAATATTTGAGACTTTTAGAAAAATACACTGACTTAAGTGATTGGAGACGCGAAAGAAAAACTATTGATACATTTTTAAGTTTACGTATTTCCAAAAGCATCATGAAGAAACATAAGGATAGGGTTTTAAAAAAGCCTACACTATATATCAATATACTTAGTAAAAGGGCTATAATCAAATACAGTACTGAAGAAGATGCAAAACATTTCGCGATTGCTCTTCTCCCGGATGACGTTCTTTATTTTTGGATAAACGAACCCTTTTGCATTAAACAAAGGTTTCTTCTTGATATAATTACTACCAGCAGTAAATACAAATTCGTGAAGGAAATATTTACTTCCAAGTACCCAGATGAGGAATTTGACACGGATTTAAGCTTTTTCTCCCAAGTATGCAATCTTATGACTGCAGAGGAGAAGGAAGTATGGGCTATAGAAGAAATAGCCCGTCAAAACGCGGAATATGGTGAAATCCCAAATTATCAAATATTTAAGTTAGTCACTTTTGAAAAAGCGTTTGAGGACATCGAAAAACTATTGTTCACCACTAGGAATTCTGAACGAAACGAGTTGCTGTTCTTGCTTATTGAGATAGCAAAGGATCAACTTCATCTGGAACGAGTTTTAAATATTTTTTACGAGAAACAAAAAAACATAGAAAAATGTAGTAAAGAACAGTTCATTGACAAAGTTCTGCAATATTTTAACGTGTATGAATTTGGTACAAGTTGCTGGGAAGCTTTCAATACTATTTTTTGCTGTGTCAACGTTTACAGTTCTACTGAATATATTGAAAAGTATCAATATAGAACAATTGCCACAATTTTTCACATAATTAACGACATTGAACTCCCAGCAGCATTAAAAAATCATATTGACGTTGGATTACACTTTATTTCATTACACGAAAACAATAACAAGTTGACAAAAGAACAAGCAGAGAAAGTATTCCAATATTTTTTAGACTTATACATGGCAGAAATCTGCAAATTTGAAAATGTACCTTACAATGACGAAGTTAAAGAATACCTTAGAAGATACATTCACGATATTCTGAGATTATTGGGAGAATATAACAGAACAAAAGAAGATTGTCCTGAACTTGTTAAACATTTTATGCAGTTGGATCGGTCAGAATTTGATCGTCTGAGGGTCCTGCATACCGAATTGGAAGCTGAGGAGATTCAGTTTGTAGAACCTCTTAATTTAATGTGTAATTTGAAGACAGACTCAAAACTACTCATTGAACATCTTCAGCTTCTTAGGAAGAATATAAATGTACCGTACAAGTTTAAAATTACTTCTGTTCTCAAGAAGTTAAAAATCTATTTCTCACAAGATATTGCTAAAGAATATTTAACATTTTTTTGTTCATTATTAGATGAAGATAAATTACGGCATAAAGAAGCTCAAGCGGGAGTCCATGCTTTATTTCTATTGGGTGATGATAACTTTAAAGTAGATTTAATGAAAAAGTTCGCTCCGGTTGAAGCTACTATAAATCATAAGGAAATTGATGAAAAGTTATTACGTGTCCAAAGAGCTATATGTTCACATATATTATATTCGCGACGTCCAGTCCCCCTTGAGTATATATTCATGTACTTAAAAGGAGATTATGTACACTTTTGTTTGCCAATGTTTAATGCACTTTTGTCTAACCTCCCATTCCTCCAATTAATTAATTTTGTTGAAACTTTATTGAACAAACCTGTATCAATCCAGAAACATGGCATACGTCTCGCTTTCGAATGTTTGAATCTAGACAATCTTAATGCTGTTATTCTACGGGCTTGGAATAAAACAAAAAATATTTCTCTAAGGATAGTTATTTTTGACGCCCTTTTCAAAAAAATTGCTGAATTACCGAATGGCCATGAGGTGTTATTTCATACTTTAAAATCTATGATTTTAACTCTACAAAATGATGATGATGATGAAATATTTAATCTTATAAAATCAAATTTACTCCCTGAACATTTAACAATAGAATGTATTGAGACAGCATGGAAAATATTTAGTCACTTTCCGCTAAGTCTAACGAACATCGACCGTATGTGTGATCTCATAAATTACATGATTACCAATATTGATAAAATGCATCAAGGCATTGTTCGCGAAATTATAGATACTTTTATTGCATCCGGATTTAAACTAAATAAAGAAACAAGAGGAAAATTTAATTCAGAAACTTCTTTTATTGAAAGCAAATGGCGACTTACTCTCAAGTATATTATGAACGAGGATGATCTAGAGAAAAAAATTGAAATAACAAAGTTGATACTAATAAAATGTTTTAAGCCCAAAGACGGCGGTAACGTTGAAGATAAACACGTTTTAATAGATACTGGAATGAAATTCATATCACAGCTTGAAGGTGAGAGTTACAATCAAACTCCATCCCGTTTCGTAAACATTAATAGTTTAATGCAGTCAGTGATACAGACCATGGAAGCTGTGTTTACCATGGAAGAAATTTACCTACAAATATGGGAACTACAGCTGGGGATTGTGGCTAGAAAAGCAATTAATAAACCGGTGCGCGCAAATGCAGCGCATGTCTTTGCAAAGGAGCTCGGAAACTTGGTTAAGGAGTACGCTGAAAAAGAATTATTTTTCAATTGTTTCTTAGTACAAATAGCGCCTTTAGTTTCAGACAAAATCACAACTGTTTGTAATGCAATTAACGATTACAATGATGAAAAATTTTACATGAAGGTATGTAGACAATTAACGTCGTATGAAATGATTGAGACTTATTGGCTGGTATTGTATCTACTGCCTATCATTAAGTATGGTGTGAGCCGTTATCAGACACGGCGGAAAGATTGTTTGTATATTATACATAAGTTAAGTAAGTTGAATAATAAAGAGATACGTTTTTATATGTTCAATACAATGCCTGATCTAGGAAAAGATTTAATTTCAATTTATTAGTTCCAAGCAATTTCTTACATTGATAAAAAAGCTTAACATCATCATATGAAGACATCGAAAAAGTTAATACTGGTGCCAGATTCTCAAGCATGTTTACTTACCAGGTGCCTTGTGACTTTTCCTAAATATTGTTACTTTCTATGGATATTTCGATACCACAGACATACGGAGAAAGACCAACCAAATTCTCTGGTGTTTCCATCAATTTTCAGTAGACATTAGAAATCAAAACCTGTAACTGAACTGTAAATTAATACAAATAGTTTCGTACGAGGCTTTAGATAGAACAAATCGCCATAATTTTGAATAATATTCATTAAATATTATATCCAACTAAATCAGTTATTTGTTTTATTATTCTGTAAGGAAATTATACCTAAGAGTAGGCTATGTAACAGGAAAATGAAATACATAATTTTAATTCTGCGAATTTAATCTGTAATCTACACAAAAATGCAACGTTTATCAATATTCCGTATAAAAAATAAGTACAACAACAAATTTAATATCTACGACACGTTACTATTTAGAATGAAGCCTTTACCTACATGTCATCAACACCACGTAACATACTGAACGATTAATATCTACACTAAAAATCATTTATTTTACTTGTGTAACGAATCTTATTGAGATGGGATTACCTAGTAAGCAATGCATGGCATTGGATGTTAAAACACTAATAGACGATGGAACCGAATGGTCTATTTGGTCCTTTTTCACATGCTGCGGTTGCCAATTATCGGTGAAGATATGACTGGTTTTAGTCTGCCGCTGATGGCACGCGCACTGTCAGCACTGATTGGCCGAGATCTATGAACTTCAACGAAGCGTGTTTTAATGGCGCGTAGATATCTATGCTCGGTTCTTAGAAGATCATAATATATTTCGACTGCCAGCGCCGACGGTCAGCGCGACATTAAAACTAGCCTATATGTGCACAATTACTTGGTATAGAGATATGAAAATAAAGATTAATCCAGTATAGAGACAGTAACCATTGGATGGCCACTTAGCTGACCAAAGATATGGCTTCATTAAAAACCATATAATTTAGTGTAGGTAACAATAGCTACTGTCTTTGTTGTCTTTGCGTCATCTTTATTTTATTTACTGCATCTACCGGAAACCGTGTGTTATAGGTTTAGTGTTCATTAAATCGCCAGGTCATATGAAAGTCATATCGCCAGGTAACCAGAGCATATGAAAAGGCACTCACTGTAGTTCGGCGGTAAGTGGTTCTCATTATGTACCACAGACCGCCCAAGATTCGATCGAATAATATCCAGAGCTGACAAATGTTTGATAGTCTATTTGTGCTTTTGGAAGTGAAGTATTTAGTATATATTAAAGATTTTTTCTGTAGATATTAATCAATCATAATTAACAAATACATAGTCGTTTTGTACCGCAATTTCATAAAATGGAAGAATACTGAAGATACGAAGATTAAAGTTAAAATACACAGACAATATTGTTTCTTAGACTAAATGAAAAATAAATGGGACTGGGCTGGAAGTCTCGGTAATGATTAGGATAGAAATCCGGAAGCTAAGTCAGATATTTTATTTGTAGATTTTCAACTTTATTGCAAAAAGATAAGAGTGAAAATCTATTTTTAAAAGTTCACGGCTTAGCGATCGAATCGGTGAACACTATCAGCTTTGGAACAAGATTTATGACATCTTTCGAAACTATAATGTGAAATGGAGAATCTTTTAAAGCGATTTTAGTTATAGAGTGCAGTTTTATAAAAATAAATAATGTAACAGTTAACTAAAATCGTGGGTTACTCACGTGAATATACTGAGAAAAGCTCTACTAGTTTCGAACTACAGAGGGGTATTCCTCATGAGCAGCGTGTGCGGTCTCGGCGATGTCGCGCAGCCTACTTTGAGTAACCCGCGATTCTTAGTTAATTTAGTATGTCTCACAATAGTTAATATAATATAACAGTATTTAGCAAGGCTACAATTTTGTAAGGAAAGTGCAATAATTGGATGGAGTTCGACAAATAATGTTAGGACATGAAAGAATTAATAAAGCTTTAAAAGTGGACGTCGAGTTTACCATATCTCAGAAACTTACATTTAGCAACAAAATGTTACATTTTCTTGAGAATACAGTAATTAACGTGTTTGTATTAAATGCTATTTAGTAGATAAGTAAGTAAATAGTATACTATTACTAATGTGGGTCGTTAACGTATTCTCTGCATTTTTTATGTTTAATAGGATGGCTTGTGGCCATTATCTCGCCTGGTGATAAGCGATGATGGAGCATGTCTACCTACAAGCGTCAATGCTACCTACAAATTAGATGTCACCACCTAATTTTTTATCAGGAAATACAGACTTCAGCACGGAATACCAGTCCTTAGCAGTTTGCATAAGGAAACTTAAAAAGCTCCGTGCGAATGATATCATGTGATGTCTGACAGACTATTATTTATTTTGTATTTGTTGTCATTTCAAAACTACCAAATATGGTTTAATTGAAATAGATACTTTGACTTTATCATTTTGTCAATAGCATCTTTTTATATTTCTATATCTCAAAATATTAATAAATCTCATCTTAATCCAAAAGAAAACTGATACTTATTCTTTGTAACATTTTCCAACGAATTTCTCAACGAAGTCTCACATTGCTTTAGCAGATAACACAAACATGTTAATATACAAATAATTACATTACAATGCTAAACATACGTTTAATAGTAAGCTAAGCCGTATTCAATTAAAACTCTATGGTACGATAAGTTGCGGAACCATTTTGGCTACAGAGCAAAATCAGAACATTTTTTATACTTTAGGTGTAGTTTTAAAACCGTGACATTTCTCGGGGGCATGTCACAGAAGTCATAAAGGTTCAATGTAAAAGAAAGTTTCGGGCCAATAGTTAAAAATACGGCTATAATAAATCGTTTAAGTTCGACAGTATTTCAGAATAAGCGACAGCAATGTTTCTTATTGGAGTTTTATGGAACTAGGAATAATATCAATTACGTGTTCGAATTTGTTTGTGTTAAGCCGCGTTATAAAGCTAGTTACAAGACGGCGGCGTGTAGTTCGCACTTACGGATCTCCGTAATTTTTGCCCTGCAATTTTTTTTATTGATTCGGACTCCGAATTGGTAGCCGAGTTACCCCCTAGAAAATGACGCGGCTTTAAAACAACACCTTGTATAGGTTGACGTTTGGCCACTATCTCGCCTGGTGGTAAGCGATGATGTGGCCAAGGATGAAGTACTACATAGGTACTATGAGCATCATATGAGCAACCTGTTCACTCGAGACTTGAAGACACCTAAGTTATATTTATTGGGAAACAAAAATTCCGGTAAAGAATTCCATTAGTTGACGGTTCGCGTAAGCTTGAGACAATAATTTCGATTAACTCAGTTGTGCAACCAAGATGACTACTATACCTTCCGTACATTTTTTTGTTGCACAACCTGGTCGCACAATGGTGTCTTAATAAAATAGGGCTCTAACGATATACAAAACTCTTAACTATAAAAAGCTCAACTAAATCTATTTTATCTATTTTAAAATACGATAAAAATAATTACTCTCTTTCGAAATACATAGTTTTATAGTACAATGCGTTATACGTAATCAATGACCACGGAGTATGAAGAGATGGAGCGCTAATTGCATTATATACAAGTTATACCAATGACGTAAGTATGTTTCATAATAGACCGTAACTGTCTGTTATGTTTGTTAAATCGAACGTCTTCTGGCGTTAAAGACTTTACTACTTTCTTTTAAATAGGGAAACTAATCTACGCTTCAAGGTCACATACACATTTGTGACCTTGACTTTCAATATTTACTATTAACACTCCATTTTTCACTTGTCCATGTATTTATTTGCAACGATAGCATGAACTAAGGACTGGACAAGACGACAACCAAAGCTAATTTTGACATTACAATAAGAACAGGTGAAGGAAAGGAGTTTATTTAATTGACAGTTTTAACTTCAGAGCTTTTTAAAAATACTAACAAATTGTTGGAGATGCCTTCATCTAAGTGCCTAGGAACTAATATCTTTTACAGTATTAATTTTGTATAGTTAATATTTTATACAGTAAGCCGTGTAGCTCAGAAGGTCAAAAAGAGCACGTAAGTAGTACAATCAGAAAAATTAATTAGTATGCAGTTAAAAAAAATAATATTGATACAGTTTTTTATGGGATAAGGTGGCACACGGGCAGACTAATCACCTGATGGTAAGCAATTGAGGCCACCCACAACACCAGGGAAGAGAAGTTATCCTCTAGAAATTGGGGATAGGGAGGATTGAGGGAGGAACGGACGGGGCCTTAATTTTTAACAAAGTCATATCTTCTATAACCTTTTGTTAGCTAACCAAGATCTTTCTCTCTGTTCTAAATCATAACATAATATCACACCTTTTATCCTCGAAGGGTTAGGCAGAGGTGCACATTAGGTACGGCACTTAATGCCACTACACAATGTAACACCCACCCTTTTACTATTTAGGTTATGAGTCCCATGTAGCCATATAGACGCAACTCCAAACTCCGTTTTTAAAACCCCAGTATTACTTTGTACGACGCAGGAATAAAACCAGAGACCACTTCTGCCCCCGATAGGAAAAAAGACGCATCTAACATTTTTTACCGATTTGAGTTATATACTTTGCCGGAATCAGAAAAAAAAGGCGCATCTGCGTGTATTTTTAATATTTTCCTAACTCCCTTCGTTACGGTTTTAGCACAACAAAATAGGTCGCTTCTGTTCATTTCGTTACACCCGATTGAAGATGAAAAGACGAATTTATGTGAAACATAGTTAAAAAGTCGCATTTATGTAGATAATGTCCTAAGCCTTCACAGTTTTTATTTTAGTTCAGTAATATAAAAGGCGCATATTTGTCCATATTTCTAAGAGGAAGTTAATAAGACGTAAATAAGCATTTGCGTCTAACGCGCTAATAAAAAACGGCTTTCACATTAAGAAAAAAAACCACATCTGACCACTTGCGCCCTATTTATTTCGTAAAAATGTTTTAGCTTAGACGCATTTGCCATAAGCGTCTTAATACTTTACGTTAAATACAAAAATACTATATGATACTAAATAAAAAAGGCGCAAGTGTGCAGAAACGTCCTTTTGTCCTAAAATTGTAAATCAAGCGGGGATTGCGCGGGGGTCGGGCAGGGTATGTTTAGTACAGCGCCTGACCAGTTTCTATGTCAGTTGCGCCCGAGTAGGGTTTAGGAGCACGTTGACGTGTCGCAGTCGCGCAATTTTTCGCTGCGTGATTCGTCGAAACAAAGTAAGTATTTTTTATTTGAAAAGTTTGTTTGTTGTTTGTGTGTACATTTTTACAACCGTAGTGTGCCAAATAATTAGGAAATACTGAGGAATTACTGAAAAGCGAAAAACAATCAATCAGTTACTTTCTCTTATGCCAGAGAACCGAAGGGCGTTTTGGGGAAATTTGCCAGTTAATGATAACTCTGTCGATTTGATTAACGAATATGAGGAAGATGTTAACAAATAGGCACACAAAGCAACAGAAGTTCTTTTTCTTTGGTAGCTGTGAAACTGCATTTACGTTGCTGATTAATACTTTTTTTTTTAAGGGGGGAAAATCATCAAATGACTGCTCCCGCCTGGGTGAGGCGGAAGGGAGTGTCAGACTCTTACTGACTAAAAACCACCCCGTTCCTTCTCCTGCACGTCGAGCCGGAGCCCCGGTTACCCGTTAGGTTCTCCGCGACTCCGAATC